GATTTAATTAAGTACTTAACATTCTATGTGATTAGTTCAATTCAAAATATTCTTTGTGATATAGCTGCGCGGTTATATTGCTCAATTGACAGCCGCACGTACCTGAGTTCAATTCTTCCTGGAGTTGTAATTTTTCTACTTTATAGAAAAATCCAAAAATTATTTTTACTTATCCTAATCGATAGCAGTTATTTTTTAGTAATAAAAGTAATAAAAGTAATAAAAATAAAATCCGAGAAAAAATTTTTTTTTTCCTCGATCTTAGATTATTTCTATATGAAGGCACATGCCCTTGTTGCTTACATTTGCTACATACAATATATTTCTTACCCCGCTTGCACGTCATAATTACACCTACGGCAATACATACAGTTCGACTTGTAATTTGTTTTCTCTGTCAATTATTTACTAGCGCAATATATATGCAGACTCGCGTGGTTTATTTTTCATTGAGAGAGGCGCCCCCAGTGCGATTCTTCGAGTAGACTTTGCACTTTGAAAGTTTTTTTTTGTATTTTTGTTTTTATTATTTTTTTTTTTTTTTTTTTTTTTTGTTATGTTGGATGCTACATTTGAAGGTAAAACAATATATATATGAGCAGGGTGAAACTCTTCAAGAAATATATATAATGTACAACAACTCTTTTGCCAATTACGACTATTTTGTAATCTTCGTATAACATATATATATATATATATATATATATATATATATATATATATATATATATATATATATATATATATATATATATATATATATATATATGTATAGTATTACCGTGGGAAGTGCTTCTGCATTTTTTATAGGGTGGTTTTTTTTTCTATTTAATATGTCACACAAAAATTATTTTGATTTATATTCTTCCGGTGTATATATACTAATATATGAATGAGAATTTTTTTTTATTGTGAAAAATTTAATAATCTTATAATATAATTAAAACAACATTCTAATAAAAAAAATTATTGTTTTCTGTTTCAGGTGAGTCCAAAGCAAAATCTCTTCCTCGAAATTCAAAATATGAAAAATTACTTCGCACTGCAGAAGGTATGATTCTAATTAATAATTATATTCCATCAATTAATTTAACACCCCCCCCCCCTCTCCCTCTGTTTTTAAGGAAATACATGCAAAGTATGTATCTATATATGGTTTTGCTCTCCCTCAGAAAAAAATCCGTTTCTACGCCCCTGAAAATTACAAAAATAATTAAAATAATAGGTAATAATAATAATATAATATAATAATAACAATAATACTATAATAATCATAAATTATTTAGTTTTATGGAAATGATATAGAAGAAAAATTAAACTAAAATTATAAATAAAAAAAAACACGGAAATGAATTTTTTTTTTTTGCGAATATTAATAATGTGGCATTGATTTTTTTTTGTTTCGAAATATATTGTGATTTAAGCACCATATCATCCTTTGCAATTGACGCCTTGGTTTGAGACCTACGCGGTTATAATATTTTCAAAAGGGAGGACTCAAGTAACAAACAATGCTCTCGATTGAGAAATTTAAACCGGTAGATATTATATTATCTATGCGCGTCTATATTGAGTCATTGTCCCTATAATAAATGAGAAAAAAAATACAAGAAAAAAAAATAATATAATTTTACATATGATTATAATATATATTTGAAAAAATTAAATTTTTTTCCCCCGCATAATATTGTAACAGTTCATTCACGCAGCAGGTGATTAATCATATATACAATATTTATAATCAATAAGTATATATTTATATATAACTATTAAGTAGGCTATACTTGTGTTTTTGATTCATAATTAAAATTTTATTCCGATTTATAATTTATTATGAAATTAATAACAATAATTTAATTTTTTAACAAATTAATTACCTTTTATAAAAAAAAATTATAAAATATAATGTTAGGTAATATCAAGAAATGTTATATACGTAAATGAACAATTTTTATAATGAGATTTATTTTTATTGATTTGTTTTGCGTCGATCTTTTTCATTCCATATATATTTACAATACCGGATCTTATATATGTCTTTGTTTCTTATTTAGACTTATATTCATGAATAATTCTGAGCAGAGTATTGTTACGTATGAATTAACCGTTAGATACCGTCGTGGATATTAATTGCAAGGTTAGCTAACGTGGAATCCAGTGGGCGCGATGATAATAATAATTTGCAGGATTAATATATTTTTCATTCTATCGTTCTTCAATGATAATATTTCTCTATAAAGTATCCTTTAAAGTTTTAAACATTTCTTTTCGATTAATTACAATTTTTATCAAAAAAAAAATCTGTATTTGAAAAAATTAGAATGCAAAAGAATTACATTAATCTTATTTCAATTTATTGTATTTTATGCAATTATTTTATTACTGTTATTATACTTATTATTTAATTTTTGTATTTTTTAAAAATAAATACACTCGAACTTGAGTTATTGAGAAAGAGTCTCAGTAAGAGTTCTATAGTGTATTTTCAAAAAAATACAAAAATAGTAAAAAAAAAATCCTTTTTCCATAGGAATGCAATAAAATAAAAAAAAGATGTCTTAAGCGGAATAATTATAGAATAGATTGGACTTAATTTTCGTGTTCGTCAACTGTGCTTTTTTTCTTTTCTTTTTTATTTTAATGGTACGCATCCTCTCGCGCTCTCATCATATATTTTACGGTCAAGTCTCACTGACAGTACGCCCCTTTTGTCACACCCTTGATTCATCTCTTTCTCTATGGGCATTTTCGCAGACGAGAGATGACCCTGACACGAGCCATGGAATTTACGAGTGGACGTTTAATTACTTTTTCCGCCTCTCTTTTTTTCTACATTATATATACACTATCCTACTTCCTTTCACATGACCGTGGCGCGAGGGATTTAATTACCTTTGTGTGATATGCTACTGGCCAAATAGAACCAACATTTTTTCTAAATATTCATCAAAGTATAACAAATGTCTCCTCGATATTTTGTGTGACATTTTTTCTATATGACAACTCTTTCTCTCTCTAAATTTGAATTATAGTGAAAAGTCATTTTATAATTTAAATTAGTGAAAATTTTTACTAATTTTTAGTTATTTTTTCACTAAAACTTAAGTAAATTAAAATTAGCAGTACCAGTACTAATTTTTAGTTATTTTTTAACTATAAAGGTTTAGTAAAATAAAATTAGAAATATTAGTAATATTTTACTAAAAAAAAAAAATTAGTGAAAATTTCTAGAATGACTTTTCACTAATTTAAATATAGAGAAAAGAATGTAATTTAAAAATTTCGCTTAAAGTTATGTTTTGCTTGTAAAACAATTAAAAAAGAAAGGATGTGCTTTCGGAGTCGACAGAAACCTTCATTACCGATTATCATTTTGTGTGTATAGAAATCCACGTTACTCACAGTTTGCATCGATAAAACAGATTTTTCTTTCAAGTGGCGCCTCTATTGTTGAATCAATTCAACTACACAGTCAGTGGTTCTCAATACAATTTTCTCAATATTTTCCAATTTACAAATTTTTGTAAAATTAAAATTCAAAATCTTTAAACAATTTTATAAATTATAATCTATATTTTATTAATGCAAAGCGAAGCTATTTTTTTCACATTGAGATAAATTAAATTCATATATAAATAGGAAATAAATTTTTGAGCTTAATTTAAATAGAAATTATAAATTATTATTAAAATAAAAGAAATAAAATGTTTGCAATGAATTTTTTTTTATTTATAAAAGAAGGTGCAAACACCCCCTTACAAGGAATAGTATGACTATAAGGTCCTTTAAAGTTCGTTACTTCAACTTGGATATTCGTCTCGGATCGTTGACCGCGCGCGATGTGATATACTATATCATTACGCAAGCAAATCAACCTCTCATTGCAACTTTGCAACCAGCAACCCACTTATGGATCACCCTGTACATCAGTGTCTCGACTGTAAGGTACCACTTTACCTTCTTTTTTTTCACCTCTCGCTTTTAACACACACACACATATACAAACATAATCCGCGCTTTTATTCAAGGACAACGTATATATATAAGAAAGATCATGTCTCGTCGACGAACCTCATTTTACCCTCTGGGAATGCCCTTATATTGTATATTTATGATCAAGAAGCCTATTTCCAAGGCCATTTCCGCCCACTCTTTACAGGTTAGACATTTTTCTTGTGTTTATTTTCTACCGCAGTCACGTTTTGTTAGGGTGAGGGTTGCTTAACTTTCGTCATTTTTTTTTTTTTTAAGTCTTTTATCACTGAGGTGTAAAATGGTAGAGTGGTTAACGTGCGTGATTTGTAACAGCAAGGACCAGGGTTCGATTCTCTTCACGGCTGAATTTTTCGATTTATTATTAGGATTTAAGGATTTGTTATTTAGTGGATTCTAATTACTATTTTACTGGTATGATAGTAACATGTATGGTAGTTACAATTAATGTTAGTTGCATTGACACCGAGCGAAAGGAAATAAAATTCAGAGAAAGAATTTGTCGAAGTTAACAAAAAAATTCATAGTAAAAATGTAACACATGCTTTTTTTCCCTGAAAATCGATAAAAATGTGTAGTGCTTTAGAAGTGCCACTAATTTGAGAACATAATTTCATTAAGCCCCTCATGTGTGTTTCAAGCTCGGTTTAGTCCGATAAAATTTACGTCGCCTTGACAACAATGTAACAACAGTTTATACATGTAATAAAGTCGATAGGACTAGTGCATTAATTATGTGTAGCGACTGAAAAAAAAGTTATTTTCTCCAACACCTGAATTTATTATCAATTTTTATCATCTAAGTTGGATATATGTATTTAAAGTCACATGTTTATAGAATGAAACGTAATTTTTTTCACTACACATAAAATAACTATTTCGAATATTTATGTTTTATATAAAGTTCGATGTATATCTCTCAGTTAGACTTTCAATGAAATAAAATGAATTTACTAAATTGAAATTAAATAAATAGGTTTAAAAAAAACGGTAAAAATAGGATAAAAATAAGATAAGGAAAAATACAAAAATCGTGAGATAATTTTAATTAGATTTTGATATATATATATATTTTATATGATTGGTTAGTGACAATCGATTTGACATTAAATTAATATCTTTCAATGAGACGATTTCTTTAGTTCGAGGATCAATAATCGATCATGTTTTATTATCGTATTATGCAATCGTATAGTTGATTTATTGGACGTGAACTGATCAGAAAACGTTTAAATGCCTAAGAAAGTATGACCCTAGCCTCCGGTATAGGTTGGAACTTGTTTTGAATCGAGCGTGTGTCTGCGGTTGCACAGTATTCTCTCTATCTCCTTTCCCTTTTTTTCTCCTCTCTCTTTCTTGTTATCTCTTTCTATCTTGCGTCTAAAACCTCTGTGTTTAAAGTATATAAACATTAGAGATCTCTTCTCTCGCCCTTATCCAGCATCCTTATTCTCCTCGATCTTATGTACCCTCTCTTTCCATTCACTTTTTTGTATATACATATATATTTTCTTCCTTTCTCAAGTCTCATCTCATCCTTCTCTCTCTCTCTCTCTCACTCGTTATGAATTGATCTTGCATTTATGATTTTCTTCTCTCTCCAACCTTGTCCCTAGATTATAATATAACGCTCGTTCTAAATTAGCTTAAGATATTTTGAATGAAATTTAAATCTAGATCTATTTTTATAAGAAATATTTTGCATTAATTTTTGTTTGCAACAAATTAAAATAACAAAATTTTGTAATTTATTTATAACCGGAAGTAATATAGCTACCGAAAATGATTTCGAACATTATGTATACAGTAGTCACTATTTAAATACATAACGTCAAATGAACGGAAGTCGCGTGCTCTTGTGTACAAATCACGTTTTGTTACTTCCGCTCTGTCAAGCAAATCATGCTAAAAACATACCTTCTTAGTATAGTTTTAACTTTTTTTTTACTCAATGTACATATTTCGAAATTTTTTCTACTTTTAAAAATTATTCTTCTTTCTTCTTAAAAATAATTCCATAAAAAAGAGAATGGAACATTTTTTCTATTTTTCTTTATGGTTGATATAAATATAGATGTAATTAATGGTGGTTGGCAATCTTTGTAATTCCCGCCTGCTTAGTATAAATACTGACTAGTGATGAATTTATTTCTTTTGTCTTTTATTCTGGAGGCAGTCCAACTAAACACTGAGCTCTCTCTCTCTCTCTTTCTCTCTCAAGAAAGAGAATTCCCAATGGAACGCAACAACTTCCTGCGCCGCGTTTTGTTTGCTCTTTTCATACATATTATTGGCAACGTCGTGACCCTCATACAAAAGTATATTATAAAAAATTCACCCCACAATGAATGCCTCGTAATTCTATCTACATTTTCTCTCCTTTCTTTGTGTATTTCTTTCGAAAAATATTCTCAGTGCATCAGAAAACAAATCGCATTTAAAATTGTCTTATTTAATTTGCATTTGAAGTATTAGTGGAAAAGGTTTCTTAAAAATATTTTTATTTTTACATTTATTTTAAACTTTTTATTTTGTTACCTTTTCGTCTGAATTCTTTCTCTTCCCGATTCTCCATTTTTGACGTTTTATGACTCTACTAGTTTTCTCATACTCTTCAGTCGGCGCAGAAAGACTAAGAAGGAAATTGGTCCAGGTCGTTGTACCTTTTCCATTCTTGTATATTTAAAGTGTAATAGTAAAATATTCATATTGCGGTTTCAATCACTGAAAATTTATTCCTTTGGAAGCTTATTGCTACATAAAAAAAAAGAAAGTAACCCGAATTCGGAAAGTATAATTATTTCTCATAGCAGGTATTATATTACACTAAAATTTGCATTAAAAGTGTACTTCATTTTTCTTATTTTGATAAAAATCATTCGTTTTTCTTCATTTCATCTATTTTCAGTTGTACAACAGCTCGAGGCACTGAAAGATAACATTCGTCCTGAAGACCATTTCTCCTTGACGAACAATATTGATATTTCTTAAGTTGAGCTTCGGATAAATATTTTCTATAGTCGGAAATCAATTCTTCAGCTGAGGGTAAAGGAATCTGTTGAAAATAATTTCGATTTCTTTTATTAATTTTTTCATTCGATTTTTTTCCATTTCGTTCCATTTTGTTTGCGACAATTTTAAAATCAGTAGAAGAATCATTTGGTTTTTGAAATTTGAAATCTGGAGAAAAATTATGTTTCTGAAATTTTAAATCAGCAGAAGATGAGTCATTTGGCTTTTGAACTTTAAAATCAGCAGAAGAATCATTTGGCTTTTGTACTGCTCGAATAGATTTCAAGTATTTCCATTTTCCCTCTTTGCCTTGTAGTTCAGCAAGATTGGGATCCAATCCATTTCTTCTGTACAGAGCAGCGGCGCCATCCGGTTTGGAAAACTTCTTTTCTCCATCTTGGACCAAATTGTATAACTTTTGTGTGGTTCTATTTGCAATAAAGTACATTTTTGATTTTGATTCAATTTTCTGATGTTCGTTCTCCGAAGAAACAGGTTTCTTACTTTGAATATTTCTTTCAACCGTGAATCCTTGAGGGATATCTAAATTCTGATCTTTGTCATATCGAATTCCATTTGCTTTTGTCACTTCCACTGTTAGTTTTTCATTTTCATTATCTGCTGATGTAATTATAAATTACGTTTTTGAAACAAGCATTGGAAAATTATTTACTAATTATATGAAAGAATACCATTATTTGTAAGGGATGAATTATTTTTAGATGAAATTAAATTTATCGTTACAGTTGCAGATGCAATTGGAGTGTCGTTATGTTGTAACAAATTTTCCAAGTTTAGTGAGGATTGATTAACAGTTATTATTTTGTTTGGTACTTTAGCGAAAGATGTTGTGCATTCAATACGAGTTGAAATTTGTTTGTAACTCTCATTATCCTCGATTGGGTGGTAATAAGGTAGACTTTGTGATTGCTTGGTGGTCTCGACCGATGGGCTGGCCAAATAATCCGATGAGGCTACTGCGTTTGTCCTCGTGTGAGATTTGAGATGATGATAACAATGTTTCTTGTTCCTATGAGAAGTAGGTGTGGTCTTGACATTATTCTCAGATTGAACCGCCACTCTAGAATGAAAAATATCAGGTTTCATGTGTGTATAGCGCATGGCTTGACTTACTTCCCGGCGATTTATATACCTTTTTTCTTTCCCCTAAAGTGAATTCTCTCTTTTATAAAAAAATGTATTTAACAAAAGTAGAACAAACCTTCCTCAAAATCAAAGTATTTTCGTTATGGAAGGTGTTTGTCAAATCATAATTTTGATTCTGATTATCATGCGAACATTGTCATTTTTAAATTATTCAGAAGATGGTACTTCTGTTACAAAAGGTAGCAATAATTTTGATTTTGAATGAAACATTATCCTCCTTAGATTTCAGAGAATAGTATTTCTGTTACAGAAGGTAGAGCAAATGTTTTGATGTCATTTTTCTCTATACTAATTTAGATTTTAATTATTTGGGTTGTACCTTGTGAAAGATCCATTTTCGAGATATCTGCTTTCCACTAAGGGGCACATTGTGCATGACGAAGGAGTTGTGGGCGTATGGACCACATGGGCCATTGGTTGCTTACCGTCAAGATGACACTTTAATAGTGTATACTTCCTGATGAATATGGTATAGGTACAACAGGTGGGCTGCACGATCGGATCTGATGGAATCAAATTACATCTCAAATGAGTGGTCAGTTGTTGTTTTTTTTTTTCAAAATCCTACACATGCTTAATATTTATTATTTAGAAATTGAAAATTTAGTTTTGTTTTCCAAATGTCATTGTGACTTTATTTTTCATAAATACAATGAACAAGATAGAGATATAAAATTATTTCTATCTTGGTAAAAAAAGATGACTTTCTTTTTTTTCCCCTTTTGAAAATGACTGTTGAAAAATTAAAAATAGTTATAATAGAGGCAACTTGTATATGCAAAATTCATTTTTCTGGTATGTAATTCACTTTATGAATATGCTTTTGTAAAATCAGGTACAATATATTTGTCGCAGTTAAATGTGTTTTCACTTTGCACACATCCGTCATATTTTTCGAATCCGAAATAAGTATGCTGACCAACGTCCGGACAACCTTATATATGCAAATGGAACATGAATCTCCCCCAATCGAAAGTAGCATTCTACATCTGCTACTTCCTCTCTTATGGTCCTGCTTCGATATTGCGTCCATTATATTCACGTTCAAAGAAATTAACTCGTGTCGTAATGCAGTTATTACTACTTAGATGATGCATTTTGCAATTGCTTCCATTCTAACATACAAGCGCGCACATAAAAGGGTCATTGTAACCATTTTAATATTCATAAGAGAATATTACAGGTCTCTCGCCTTCTGGACATACAAATCTGCCCTTTGCGGAGAATTAGTATTTTTTTTTTTTTTGCTTTTCGTTCTCAACTGTCAATTTATTTAGAATTAAAAGATTTACTACTGATAATAAATATCTCTATTTTCAGTAATTAATGTGATTTGAAATATAAAAAATTAAAATTTTAAAAATAGATTATTAAAAAAAGTGTGATTTTAATTAAGTTACCTGTTTTTTTTTGGTTAATTTACTTTTATTGACAAATAATAGGAATAATTTTGAATTTTTTCCCCAAAGGGTTGAAGAATTAAAAATTTTATTTATTTTTTTTAAACTTATATATTTTTATTTTACAAGGAATTTTGATAATGAAATCTAATTTTTTTTAGTGAATTTATTCATTTGACATTTAGATATTTTTTTGTTTTTAATTTTTTCTGAAATTATTAATTTCTTTCTTTTTTTAAATAAAATTTTCAAAGGTTTAATATCAAATGAATTTAAATTCTATATATATGCTATTTTTGTTCTTTACTATTTTTTTTTCACCACTGCAGAATATGGTATTTTAAACTATTTACAAGCATGTATTGTGAGGCAAAAGAAAAAAAAGAGAGAAGTAAATAATTTGCGCTCCTCTCGGGTTCTGTTCTTCCGTTATATGCGCTCTCGTAAATTAGACGTTCATGGCCCTTAAATCTTGTCGAAACCCGCATGGATATTTTTGGTTCATATTTAAGTTGAATAATTTTTTCCTAGACACAATAAAAAAATATACATATATATTCTATGAAAATTATACAAATTAAAATTATTTCCATTTTTATTCTACTTTCTATTATATATTTAATTTATTATTGTTATAGTACATTTATGATAAATATGTTATTTTTTTGTTATAAAATGTATTATAATAGTATTTTTTATTTTGTTTCATTTCTTGTAATAATAACAAATTATTATTATTATAAACGATAATAAATCTTTTTTTGATAATATTTCAATATAAATTGTATCACTGGAATATTGTTAATTATTTTTGGGACAAAAGGGGATGAACTTTTCTTTGCCTGTCAAATTTTTTTTTTCTTCCTAACCATCATCAGACATCAATTTATTTTCTTTTTCTGAGGTGGTAATTAAATCGCTTCTCTCTTAATGTTAAACATTCCCGTTTTCGGCATCATTAGTCTCGCTAAAAATGTTCGACATAAAGACTTCTTTATTATATTTGGCCACGCATATATTTATCAAACATTATATACAAATAAATTTTTTAAGGGTCTGCTTTTCGTTTTCATCTCCTGCTGTGACAATAATTTTTAAAAAAGAAATAAAGTGGAGACGATTTTTCAATTAAAATAAAACATTTTCTGGCTAATTGAAAAATTGATACATCCCTTAATTTTAAAAATATATTTTATAACAGAATATTTTTTTCAAGATTTTTAAATGACATTTTTGTCTATTATTGAATCAGATGCATCAGATTGTGAGACACTATAAATGAGAAAGATTATATTTTATTTAAAAATTACTCCGGCGAATGTTTCAGACTTCCGCTCTTCTCTTTTCTTTTATTATATTGACACGGTATAAAGTGTAAATGCCCTCTTCTCTTTGCACGTGAATATAAAGACCCAAGAACACACATGAATACCTTTCAATGTTTATATGTTCATTCAAACATTGTGTTTTATATTTGACGAATGCTCTTTTTTTTTCTTTTCTCCAACCGCTTGACACTCTCATTGTTATATACATATATATAAAATGTGGTGCGATCGTAAAATATTAATTGCCATCCGAGACATTCCAATCATATAATAATATATCATACAGAGAAAAGTTTTCTTTAAACTAAACAAATTTTTTAATACAATTTTTTGGTTTGTAAAATAAAGTTTTAGTTTGTACAATTGCTGTTAAATTTTATAAAAAAAAATTTGTAATGTACACTAAAGAAGTTCTAAAGAAAAGAAGAACTAAAGTATACATATTCTAAAGAAGTATATGGTTATAAAAAGTATAAAGAAGTTTGTGCGTACAAGTTAAAGAAGTTATGGTTAAATTGAAATAAATTAAAGAAGGTACATGGAAACCAAAGAAGTTACTATACTCATTTTGGGATGTTCAAAATAAAATTTAAAATTAGGAAACCTTTCTTTGAAAACTTTTTTTGAGTCATTTAACTTTTATGACATAGAGAACGACAAAAAAAAAGTGAATGAAGCCCTGTACGGAATTTAAAATTAGCCGTCTCTTTTTCATAAAAAATAAAATGAACGCACATATTTTGATACTTTTTAAAGTGCTTCAGAGATAAAATGTATGTATAAAAAAGGGGAACAATTTCTATACGTGTAAATGCACCTCTCACTGAAATATATGTCGCGGCTAGACGCCAATTTCCTGTGCGCGTAGATTTTGTGATCTTTTGTGTGTGTGTGTGTGTATTTTAATACATACGCGCTTATTTTCTGGCTTCAAAGTGAAGCGGAGCACTATGTATATATATAAAGTCACGTATATACATATATAGATATTGCATACTTACTATCGAAAGACTGTGTTCTTCTGAAAGATACATCGAGAGGGAGAGAGAGAGAGAAGCTAAAAAGGGCAAAAGAAGAAAAAAAAATGATAAAAAGATAAAAAAAAGAGTCGACGCCCAACTCGCGACAAAGAAGCAGGATTCGTGCCAGCCGGTCATTCAAGATCTCGTTACAGCTTTTTTTAAACGATTTTTCTTTTATTTTCTCTCTTTTTTTTCTTCTTCTTCTTCTTCATTCCCGGCATTTTAAGTGATGATCTACCTATCCCTGTTGAAAATATTACTGAAATCTTTGCGCGCAAAGAATGAGACCCAATTAACAAGTTTATAAATGACGACGTCTTTATTGAGAAAAAATTTTTTTTTTTTAAACTGAATTTCAATTTCTCCTGATGGATGAAAAAAATTACATTTTTAACATGTGCGCAATATTTCATATTAATTAATATATTATATGGCAATTATTATATAAAAAAATTAATAATTACAAATTAATTTATTATGATAGTTTCAGTTAATGGTAGTTACAATTCGTAGATAGCTTTTATTAATGGTAATTACAATTAATTGTAGTTACAATTTTTATGTCATAGTATATCTAGAAGTTTCGATTAATTGTAGTTATAATGGTTGGTAGTTACAATTGATGGTAGTTTCTATTAATGGTAGTTACAATAATTGGTAGTCATAGACGATAGTAGTTTCAATTAGTGATATATAGTTACAATTTTTAGGGGCTTTCTATTAATGGTAGTTACAATAATTGGTAGGCATTGACGCTGGTAGTTTCAATTAATGGTAATTACCGTTGACGGTAGTTATAAACATTGGTAATCATAGTTTCTAGTAGTTTCAATTAATTGTATTTATAATTTTTGGTAGTTTTTATTAATTGTTGTTACAATAATTTGTAGTGATAGGCGCTGGTAGTTTCAATTAGTTATAGTTCCAATTGTTGGTAGTTACAATTGATGGTAGTTTCTACTAATGGTAGTTACAATAATTGGTATTCATAGGCGCTGGTAGTTACAATTGTTGGCAGTTACAATTGTTGGTAGTTACAATTGTTGGTAGTTACAATTGTTGGTAGTTACAAATATTGGTAGTTACAAACGTTGGTTATTGTAATCACTGGAAGTTAAAATTGTTAGTGATTACAATTTTTGGTAGTTAAGAAATGAATAGTATGGTATGGTATAACAAGACTTGATAGTTAATATAGTAAACAAAAATTTTTTTTCGGTAAAAATCAAAGAAACAAAAATCCACACTTGAAAAAGGAGATCTCGTAATACCTTTATACATGCATATATATAGTGGAAGTCTGGAGGAGTGCATCGTAGAAACGAAATGCGCTGCAAGTCTAAACGGCTTGCCATCAGAGGCGCTGAATGTTCAGTAGGAAAAAGTCGACACTCATGAGCAGATAGTCGTGACTCTGTTCGGCAAGAGGTTGTCTATATTGCGCTCTTGTATTCGTGATTGTGCACGCTTTTTAACCAATTTAAAAAAAAAAATAGTTTCTAAAAAAAAGGTCAATTCTTTTTGTGTAGAAAAAATTTGAAATAAAAATTGCTTTTATTAAATTATAATTTACATTTATATTCTCTGAGAAAACCTGTCTCTTAAAGAAAGAATCTATTTTTGGATTTAAAAATTAGTTTCATCCTGTATAACAAGTATTTTTTTTTTTAATTATAAATAAGACGCAGTACATGGACATTAAAAATCGGTTTTTCGTTATTTAAGTAAAAATGAAATAATTTATTAATTAATAAAATAATAGTGTGATGTGAAATATTGAAAGTGTTTTGTGTAACTAGGAACAAGTTGTGGAAGACTTTAAGTGTTGAGTGAATCGAAATACTTTGTCTTTAAAGGTGAAGAAGAATCGAGTTAAAAGAGAGAAAGAGAAGGAGAAGAAAATACTTGTTTGAAACTTGTTTTGAACTTGGATTGATCAGTTGGTAGACTTAACACCGAATGTCAACTGGTGATGCATCCACGTGCTTTTAGCACACTTAAATTCATTGTGTGTATGTGTAAGAGGGGGGAACAGCAATGTGTGTTTACGATAATTCACTCGTGAAGAGTTTTATAGTTCGTATATATATCCTTGGGAGCCATTGATCTGACAGTCAAGCGAAAGAGAGATATCCCTTTTTCTTGCTTTCTCACGATTGGCCAAGGCGACCTTTTCAATACAATCTCCATAGCATGAACATCCCTGGATTGAACATTCTCAAACTGAAACGATAAAAAAAACTCTCTTTCAATTAAAAACTCATAAAAAGATCAATTTAAATAATGTAATTAAAGGAAATAATAGAAAAATGTTGGAACAGGAGGATTCTCCCAAGAGGAGATCAACATTTTATGTATCACTTGATGGTGAATCACGTCAAGGAAAAATAGTTAGTAAAACTATTTCCCATGATGCGGAAAAATATTGTAATACATTTCCAATTGGAAACACAACAGCAAAAACAACAGGACAATTGCAACGAACTTTAAGCAATCATGATGCATTGACTAATAGTAGTGTGGTGGAGAATAATAAAAGGACTGATGTTGAGTCACGAGGGAAGGTACAGTCGTTGACGAGAATATTTGAGGCATCGAAAGTTGTGGATGAGGTTCCAGAGCAGCAACATAATAAGAAAAAAGTGGAGAGGACCAGGTCCTTCAAGACGATAGAAAGGTTTCAGAGCCGGTTTACTGGTAAAAAAGATTCTGGGAGAAAGGACAACAGACTGAATAATACTATAGCTTGTATTACCGATACTACGGAGAATTATAGTCATCATGATGCTAGACGTAAAATTCATCGTGACGATGAAGAGGATGTTGAAAGAACATCGATAATGCCCAAGATTAAATCAAGATCGAGGGAATCGAGATCAATTGTCGAGCAAAAGGTCTCGAAACAAAATAGTAACAGTGGTGGTGGTAGTAGTAATAATAATAACAATAATAATACATCATTCGCTAATTTGATAAGGAGGACACATAGCACAAAATTAGCAAGAAGTACCAGTGCTTTGGTTAGAGCGGGAAGACAAACAACTATTGATGATTCGAGTCATCATGAGGATTTTTCTACAGATCATGAAAAGGATAATTTTGACGATACCAGAAATGAGTGTCCAGATGGATGTGTTTTTAAGGAAACTGATGTCGATGGTGGAATTCATTCAGGTGATTATTTGTGGACCTTTGTTTCAAAATTTATAAACTTGATTTAAAAATCAACAGTATAACAATAATTCAAAAATATTCTTAAATGATGATTTTAGGAAAAATTCTGCCTTTTTTTGGTTCAATTTATCAAAAGAAAGAAGAAATTAATTATAATTAGAGATGACAATGATGTTGTATTTATCAATTACTCGCTCTTGATTAAAAAAAAAAAATATATCAGATTCAAAAGTATAATTTCTCTATACAAAGGATCTAAAATCTTTATAATTGAAGACTTCTGACAAACTATATATGTTTTCCATGTATACATAACCTCAGCTTCATAATTATCATAATTCGTATTATTGTAAGCAAGTTTTCTAAAAAAAGAAACTATATGCTATCATTTTTTTATACTTAATTTCTATGCAGGATTCTCAAGGATGTTATGAGAGAAAACGATAATTCTAATAATATTCTAGAGATATATATGTGATGCAATGAATGATGAAGTAATACATAATTTATCATATCATCAACATAATAAAATCGTCTTATTGGTAGAATAATTTTTTTTTTTATAAACATGATTCGATATCGTTTTTTGATGCCTTGTATATCTATAATATAAAAACGTTTTCGAAGATGAAATGAATACATTCATTTTTTTTTCTCATAAAAAAAAATTTCGAGTGAGTTTATATGCGGGAAAATACGACTTTTTACGAGGCACACGGTATATAATCGTAATTATAAAGTGCAAAATTATAGAGTCCACATTTTTAAAAAAAAAAACCGTTGCAAGAGGCCCTTCGTTGCTCGCAATAGCAACCCTGTGGTCAATATGGTAAATCGTTATCCACAAGACGATTATATATCTTTATCTTTAAGAAATGTTTCTTGACATATATCCCAGATAAAAAAAAGTCACCAAAAATGTTGAAAACCCTAAAAAAATATAATTTCTCCAAAAAGAATTTTAAGCATTCGATTAGTCATGATTATATCTATTTCTTAATGTTAAATTATCTTTTTTATTTTGCAATTTATCTATGGAAATGTATATATTAGATAACGAAAAACTATTTCTTTTTATATATTGAACGACATGTGAGAAAAATGAGTCATTTAAAAAAAGAAAAAAGCCCTTCAATGTAAAAACGTGACATGTAAATATGTCACGTATATTTTTCCATTGTAGGATAATATTGTTCTTCTTATGATGTTTGTAAAAAAAAAAATTATTAACATTTTTCACGATTTTCTTTGTATTATAATATATGTGTGGGGAAAAAAAGTAGGGCTTTGAGAAGATATTGCTAATATATGTTGGTTAAAAAAAAAGGGGAGTCAAAAGTAGGCGAAAGAGTTATTCCATAATGTATGAGCTGTTCCCGTGGGCTCGTTATTATTTAAGGACAAGATATTACGTATAAAAGATTGCAAAGAGGCGAGGTCTTATTATTTATTCATTATTTTGCATCGTTTCTTCATCAATATTTAAGAAAACAAAAAATTTTTCTATAACTAAAACTTGAATTTTCATTTCGAAATTTCGCGCAGCAGAAATTTAAATATTTATTTTGAAAGGAAAAACAAACTAAAACTTTGAGGGAGAAAGTATGATTTTTATAAATTTTTTTTAGAAAACTGAAAATATGTTTAGAATCTGGATATAATGACCTAAAAAGATAATGAGAGCTAATCGTTGTTAGACGACACTTTCTATATATAACATGAAACCATAAAGATTGTCTATCGATATTTAAATAAATTTTGCCCGTCAAGCGTAACAAAAAAAAACGTTATTATTGTATTTTTTATGACAATAGCAAATTCTAAAATTGGCATACGTTAATTACGGAGGACTATGCGCGTGCTCGAACTCGACAAGAATCAAAAAGAAGGAAGTTTTATTGCGTTCAACGTTCTCGTTTCCGTTTGAATATAACGGGACTCGATTTGCGAATACTGAATACCGATTTGTTGTACTCCCCCACTTTCATTGTTGGGTCTCTCCTTCTCGGTCCCTTTTCCTGTTTTACAATGTTATATAACACCATGAGAACTTGGTTTTTTTTTTTTTTTTTTGAAATTGCAGAATTTAATCGTTGCTCTAATATAAGTATACTTTTTACAACAAGAAAATGCATTTCATTTCCGTAGTAATCATTCCTCTCTAAAGTTTATTTTCAACGTTAAAAACTTTGCAGAACATAATCAAAATTTGAAAGAATATACAAATTAAGGCATTAGAAATAATTCAATAAAATAACTTTGTTGGTCCATCCAAAAAAAGAAAAAAAAATGGGATGTAAATTAATGAGCGTGTAAATTATATTATACACATTGTTGGGATATTAAATAATGAAGTGAAAATATGTTAACTTTCCGAGGCATTCGATATTATAATCTTTTAAATTTAATATTTTTTCTTATTTTTTTTTTTGTGGTTTTGAATTGCGTGCAGTTGTGATATGAAAGTTTGTGATGCTTGGTTGATCTTTAAGTGCATATATAGAGTTATTACTTGGGAGCATGCAGCGTATAAATGAGGCTTTCACGGTTGTTTTTCTTTTGGGATATATAATATTGAAGCCACGCGACAACTATATATATATGTATAAAAATAAGAGAACGAGAACCCTTTTTTAATCACAAGAGTTTTAGTCTCTGAAATATTTTCAATCGGGTCGTGGACCTTCATCAAGATTTTCAGGGACCTACTTATATGCAGGAGAACCTGCATCTTGGTTTTTATATATATACAAGGCACCTGCCTCTGATACAGCGGACCCAAACGAAAATAATATACACTCCCCTCGACAATACTTCCTGCGATTCGAAAACAACGTTTCAAAATAATTGATATTTATATATTTTTCGTTAAGAAAAATTCGGGTTTTTCTTCTTTTTTTTTTGTTAATTATTAATTTTTATACAGCCTATTTTTTAATTAAAAATTCTACTAACATTAAGTTTTATAACAAAAAAAAAAAATTATTTTTTTTTATTCAAACGGTAATTATCGTTTATGTGTTACTTGTATATTAAATTGCGGATCATAAATAATGGAGAAAGGAGACATTGATGATATAGGCAATTTTGCATATAGAGATAAAAAATATAAACTAGGAAAACTGCAATTAAAATTTATTGCTAGGATAGAATCAGCATCGGCAATTAGCCAATGATGACCGACTAAATGCTGAGTATCTCTACATATATATATATATATATTCTGTCATTGTGAAAGCAATTTATAATGAAATGATGAGGCCTACATATTAGAGTTATAAATCCGACCTGGAATCTCTTTATGCTGATTGAGCTAGATTTCTTCTTACATATGCAGATATGTATAGAAAACTGGAATGTCAAACTGCAAGAGAAAAATATACAAGCTAAATAAATATTTATTTAATTAAAGTAAATTTTTTTGGTAAATATTAAAAAAAATGTTAAATTACTCTTTTTCCGCCTAATTCTCTTATTTTCTTTTGGGCAATTTTTTTTCAATGCAATATCATGATCAAATAGCTTTATCTTATATTTATCCAATTTTTTGCCCCTTAAAAAAGGAAAAAAAAATAAATCGAAACCATTTGTTCCAGATAAAAGGAGTAGAGCATCTGTTTTAATCTCGCATAATCCCTAAAAAACATACTTTTTTTCTCTCTTTTTACCCTCAAAAAATTCTTTTGTATTTCTTGTCTATTTTTGGGGAAGCATCATTTTGCTATACATATAAAGATGTATATATGTCACTATTTTTTGGAGCGAATATAACAAAAGAAGAACAGTAATCGCGAAAAAATTGCGATTAAGTATGGCTGATAATAATTCGTTGCAAGGAATTAATGTAACGGCATCATTGAATTATCATGGATCTCAAATGAAAATTAAAAGAGAAAATTGATAACAGATGTGTAACATCTCATTTCTAAATGATTTGTATACGTGTGAAAAATGATGCGTACCATTGATAATTTCACCATTTCTTGTTGACTTAATTTTTCAATTCTATATATTTATAATAAAAAAAAACGTTGTGATAATTAAAATCCATTGCTTGATTTATTACTTTTTGATTCTATTTTCAATTGAGTTATTTTTTAATAATTATAAACATTAATTTAATCATATTTTTATAATTATATAATAATAATTCAATAATTATAAGAAACAGAATAAGAATTTTTATTAATTTACAGTAAATTATTGTTAGTCACAACCTTTAGGTTTTTCGTTACCAATTTTTTGCATTTTTTAATTAATTTTTTTTAATACACATGAATAATATGGGGTATTCAAAAAATGTTAAGAGGATTATATATATATATATGAAAGTGAATTGAATTGCATCGAGAATTGCATATATAGCGAGAGAGCTAAGAAACAAGAGTGTTATTCAGTGTACAAAGCAAGTGAGCGCGGCTTTTCTTTCTTTTTCAAAACCAAGGGGTTCGTCTATTATATGTCTTTCATAAACGAGCCAAGAAAATACCTTTTCATCGCTTCCTTTACAATTCTTCTTTTCTCACACTGTGCTTTCTATCTTACTTGTTCTTTAGCGTATATATATATAGTTTCATAAGACATTTTCACCGGCCTAGAATAAAACGGGACACACATTCACAAAAAGAAAAAGACTTATGATCCTAAAGATCTTAATACTTAAATTTATGATCTGGAAATTTCTATGTATCATTTTTCATATTCTCACCTTTTATTTACAAATATAATTATATAATATATATCCTTAAAAAATCCTCTCATTTATAGAATAATGCATTAATAAAAATTTCAAAATTAAAATTTCTCCAAATGTAATTTTTGAAGAAATATTTCCCTAGAGATATTTTCTTTCTCTCCCTCTCTTTCTCTCTCTCTCTGTAAGTTCAATCCTGTCTTACCATTTTCGGTTCTTTAAAACTTTAAATCAATGTTTTTCAAAGTTTATAAAAAAAGAAAAAAAAAATTATCGTGAAAAGCAAACTCGGTTTGCTTTCAACCAA